TCTTTTATTCTCTTTCCCTCTCCTTATTTCTGTAATTGTGCTGATACATATTTTTGAGACCTTTTCCCACTCTTTCTTTACTTCATCTTCTGGATTTTGTTGTGCTTTCTTCCATGTTTTTTCATTTTCTTGACCACCTTGTGTTGCCATCTCTTTTTATACATTCATTTGCATGTCCGTCTTCCTTTATGTTTTATTTTCCCTCCTCCCAACCTTCTTCCTTTTCACAGCATTGGAACACGGGAGGTAGTCACCCAGAAGAACTTGAGTGGCTTGGTGCCCATCCGAGATTTCAGACTAGATCCCAGCCTCCTCTACTCTATTCCTTTACTAGCTCTGAGCCCCAATTTACTGATTGTGTGGCTGTTTCTGAGCATAGCTTACCTGGTGGCCAGATTACGTTGCAAGTGAAGATAAAGTTTAAAAACAAAAACAAAAAAAAGCTTGAATGTGTAATGCCACTTGGTACCTGCTGGACAAAGGAATGTGTCATAGCATTGTCTGCCAGGAATTATTATTATGCCTTACAATTTTATGTTTCTATTGTACTAAACTGTAAATACACATCAGATTATTTTATCAAAAAGAATTGTATTGAAACTTTAAATTCTTGTTCTGCTTTCAGTGCTTGTAACATAGTCTGACATTGGCCTGTTACCTCGTTACTTTAGCTGGCCTGAAGATCTCTTACCAAATATAGTTTTGTGTTACTTGTTTCATGTATTCCAGAGAAAGGAACTCTGTCTGAAAAGAATTTGTATCTATCTTTTGTATATTTAAGGTGTATGCTAATCTTGCCTTTCATTTTTACAAGGTATGAAGAGAAAAATAAAAACATGGGTGGGGTTTATAAGAAATTGTAAGAAATTTATTTAAAGAAATAAACGAATTTCTACCTTCATTTCAAAGCATAATATCCAAATTACATTGCTGAACAGTTTGTAGAGCCATAGTCTTGTTCCTTTCTCATGGTTAAGTATGTTCTAACAGACCAGTGTACCCACTCAGAAAACAACTTGCAGTGCGCTGCATGTAAAATTCTTTCATTCTATTTGCAGATCTGCATTTTGTAATGTATTAAAGACATGAAATGAATGACTGGTGGTTAGGAAGAGGATGTAATTGGCACTGGCCTGCTAATGGTCCATTATCTGTTTCAGGTGCTCTGTTACAGAACTTATTCTGAAACAGGGTCATTATCATCCTAGAAGTTAAAGATATCAGCCTTTAATATTTCAGGCAAGAGGGAGGTATCAGTTAGCTCCTTTAGTAGGTGGGTTTGAGGTTTTCCACTGGGCTTTGTTTTAATTACACTAGACTAAATATTACTGTTATTTCCATTTTTAAGCGTTGGACAGCTTTAATAAATTATGATGTTGATAGTGGCTTAGAGATAAATGAATGGTGGTAAGTTAACATTTATTTAAGCGGTGAGACTAAAGCGGCTTACCTAGTTTAGTCACGCAGAATAACTGCAGATGAAATTTGGTCACTGCTGATGTATAATGTCAACCTGGAAGAGGCCTGTTAAACTGAAAGATTTCGTTGCTGCAGTTGTCTGGTAGAGCTTGTCAATAGCAATAGCTGATTAAAAAACTAACCTCATTTAATGTACTTTGCTAAATACATGAAGGGATTTACTTCGCTTGGTGCCTGAGATGACAGAAAATTGGGCTTTTGAGGAGAATTCTTCTAGTACTGTGATTTCTATTTTCTACTATTATTAACTTGCTTAAAAAACATAGGTAGCTATAGCTTTTATTATCAGTCTTAACGGAATTTGAAATTACATGCTGAGAGAGGTAGGCTTAAGAAAAGAAAAAAGCACAGTTAGAATGAAAAATAGAGCAAAATCCTAAATTTGGTGAATATTCTAACTTGAAAAAAAAAAAAAAAAAGAGTATGTGGTTATATTTGTGTCTTCATGAAATCAGACTGTACAGTACACTGTCTCCTGGTAGTTTTCCTCACTATTCTTCCAATTTTCTTTTAAAAGGAAAACAAAACCAAAACAACAACCAGAAGCCAAACCAAACAGAAAGACATATGTATCTATGTATATTTATATATATATTTAAGCATGTATCCTATTTATTTTTAATTGCAATGGATTCAGGTAAATCCTTACTGCTGAGGAGATTTAAAATTGTGGTATGAGGGTACTGGACACATCCATGCCCTGGGCTGATATCTAGTACCACTGTGTCTCTGTACAGATAATTTCTTCTTCATGCTTAACACTGGTTCATTTGCTCTGGGTACCAAAATTTGCCTTTTTACAAAGTGAACAAATGTCAGGTTGGACTGTGGTTTTGCTCTTGCAATGTGATGAGTGTCCTGGGCTCAGTCTTAACAAGATGTGAAAGTTACTTTAGTAGGTGTTATCTCCACTGACCTCCCTAAGATTATGAATCTGTTTAAATAAAGCGTAAAGGCTTTGCTCATGACTATCACTAGGGTCTTGCACCCTTAAACTTATCTAGAATAAAAACCCAGGCTTTTTGAAAACAACATAGTTATTTTCTTATTTTCTTACGCTTTAGTGGGAACAAGTTTTCATCTTTTTTATTTTCAGCTTGGTCTGTGCTGTCATTCAGGCATTCAGATTTAAAATGCTGTAGTGCACTCTGCTTATGTGCCTCCAGAAGAAGAAACACAGCACATGAGATGGTGTGTGAAATACATCTTTGCCACCATCTCTGTGGCCTCCTTGTGCCACAGAGGGGCGTGTGCTATAACCAGATGCAGTGGGATGAATTATGAACAGAATGATTCACTTTGGAGTGAAAATGCTCATATGGTATCCCATATTTGCTAGTTAACCATTGTTTTTATTAGTGCTCTGAAGTATAATTTGTGCCTATTTTTGATTAATCTGTTTGACTGCAACAGCCTCAGGAGGAGGGGTTTCTGTAAAACACAAAGCAATGCCATGAAAATAGTGTCATCACGTACAATCCATTCTATAAAAGGCAGGCACAGAATGTTCTGTGGAGACAAATTTCAAACTCACTTAAACTTTGACTTAAAGCAGAAACTTACAATATTTCATGAGATCGATCTAGGAGGTACATACAGAACACAGGCCTGGTCACTTTAACTAGCCAAAATTAGAAGAACAGTGAGGTCAGTTTGAGAGAGCTTTTGAACTGAACGGGAATCCAAACCCTCCTTTTCAATCAGGTGACCACAGTTTCCGTGGTAGATGCTGCCGCATCTCCAGGACAGGAATAAAGTGGTGTTTCCACCATAAGATGCTGTACTGTACACTTTGCCATGAAGTTCTAGTATTTGTTGTTTAGGTTTAAGTCCTCATATCAGGGAAAGACATTCTCCTGCAAGCCTAACCTGATCTATAATATATATGTAAACGATAGTGCTTCCTCTTTGTACGTCTGTTTCTGGATGTAATCAAAGGAACTGTGAAGTAGACTTACGAGTGTAAAGAAGCCTTATAACTGGAGTAGTTTTTTACTGTAGCACAGAACCTCTTTGTAATGTGGGGCAGTTGCACCAAAGCATTGAGTGAAAATGAATTTCTCCACAGCTTTGTTTCATTGGGGTGATGACTGTCAGTGCAGCCAATCTTCTTTGCACCCACACAAAGCTGGTGTTTCATGATTAAGATTTTTTTAGACTATGTTGGTTTTCAAGTCAATTTATGCATGCAGAGATTACTGGAAAGTCATTATTTTTGTATCAGCTCTAATCTTTAAGTAAGTACTGATAATACTGACATACAGGGAACAATAAAATTACTTCCAAGCTCTTGTTGAGAGATCAACAGTTTTTCTTTTTCAGCTTAATATATTAATAAATTAGCAGAACTGCTTTTAAGCAATCTCTTGGGATCCCTTGTGCAGTGAAGCGGCATGTGAGCTCCTGAAATACATGAAACCGTCGGGGAAAGAACTTTTTTCAGTAGATGTGCTGCTGCTTTTTAGAAATGCAAAACTAGCAATCTGACATAGCATGTGTCCATCCTGTGTGCTTCTGACTGGCATTGTATGATGAGTCCTCATTTTTAATATTTGCAGTGGCAAATTAATTAAGCGCTCATTAAATATAACCAACTTTTTTTTTTTAATGCTATAAAATAACCAGTTCATTTCATCTTAGTTTAAGTCTTTTTTATTTTTCTTTTTTTCCTTTTTACTGCTGTCATTTTTTGTGCTTGTTTTTTTTCCCCAGTGAGGGTTGTCGCCGAGAAAATACAATGAAGAATGTTGGATGTCGCAAGTATGCATTTAATTCCCTGCAACTGAAGGCTTTCCCAAAGTATTACAGGCCTCCAGAAGGAACTTATGGAAAAGTTGAAACATAAGCATACGATGTCCTTTAATTGCTGTTCCATTAAAACGTGTGGATACACTCTAGATTAATCTGTGATTTTGTCATCCAGAGGAGATAAATCACCTTTTTGTACGTTTCGCTAGGTTATCCAGAGCATGTTACTTACAGAATTGGAATCTCTAGTAACAATTATTCTGACACCTTAGCTTGAGAATAGTGTGATGACGCTCTGCCCGTTTAAATAGCCTTCAGTGTATGTAAGACAACCAGATATTGTGCTACTTCCTAATTACCTATATGCAAATAGCTAGGTACCTTCTGGGTGGGCAAGGACTCTAGGAACGGCATTGGGCAGCTGTTTCACGTCACATCTTTTATACTGAGTTGAACTTGAGATTGAGCTTTTCATAAACTTTTTAAAACTGCGAGTAAAACTCAAAAGTTGTAAATAAAAAGGGATTGGACCTAGACGGTCTAATAGCTGTAGAATGCATTGTTACAATCAAGAAAAAGAAGTTTAACTTAAAAAGAAAAAATCAGCACAATAAAAACCAGGAGTATAATTTGTTTTACTGTATATAGGATGGCATCTTCATAGATGAGATTAACAGTACAGAAAAGGCCAGGCATATGAGGTCTGGTTTCTAGTTCTGTCCAAATAAAGCAAATTCCTGTTGTCTTTGGCAAACAAGGACTTGGGCACACATCTGATGTTAAGAACTGTTTCGGAAACACGGTGATGCTTAATCATTAACACGAGCAACAGTACCCCTTCCCCTTCCCCACTATAAAGCAAGTGCAACAAGCAAGTTGCTAATGTTGCACATGACATGTTGGGTCTGTCCCATGGTGTCGTATATTGATTAACGCATTTTTACCCATGACTTTTTATGTCACTTCTGGATAGTAAGTATCTTGGGGAGGGGCTTAATATTTTTTATTCGTGTTTGAATTTTTCTCTCATATCAATATTGTATGTCAAGACAAAAATGCTCGAAGTGCCCAATGCATCCCCGTTACTCCATAACCCAAATTGGTTTCTGTTTACCTTTGCGTTTTACCTGGGCAGGTATTCAGAATCCAGGGAGGGGGAAGTATGACTGTTTTCAGGGCATTTCTGAGGAAGGTGGCGATGCCCCATGTTGATAGAAGGGAACTGCTCATGTACTACCAGTACTGCGCTAGAACCGCAGTGCGTTCTAGCATATCGTATGACCAGGTGATCAGTTTGATAGTGTTTGATAAAAAACATTCAACAGATCTCCTCAGAAATAATCTCCCAAAGAATGCCTTTGAAACTAAGATACCTTTTTAAAAAGCAGCTAAACCTGAATTTCCAAATTTTAACAAGATTTTAACAGAATCCCTAATAGGATTAAATCAGCCCTAGCTAGGTTCCTTCAGCACACTGTGCCCTGTCCTTCTTGGTTTCTAAGAATGTCAGTTTTAGAATAGAAAAATCTGCCCATTTATTCTTGTGAAAGTAGCAACAGCCAGGTAAGTATATGGCTGTTTTCTGGTTTCTTTCTCCCTCTCACTGATGTTTGTCTGTGCTGTCACTGCTCTCTCAATCAGTCATGTTCATTCTGCTCCCATGCAGGTTTGGGGGTTACAGGTCCAGCAGTTTTTGCATTTTGCTTGTTGCAGTTTTAACGCTGAGCAGCATGTCAGAGAGCCAGGTCAGAGAGTGTTCTGCTGAGCAAGGTTGTTACTGTTAGTTCGTCTTTCTTGGATAACAAAACACGTGCAAAATCTATGTATTGTATTACCTGTCCCAGGTGTGAGCGAATCACCTACAGTAGAACAGTCTCTTGGGAATTTTACAAACCCTGTTCACCAATTAATAAATAAATAAATGTTGGTTTTGTTTTATTTTTTTGCTAATGAGTAAACATATGGTGAGAAAACTTTTCAATGGGATCTCTTTGGAGAATGTTGCTCCACTAGTTCTGCTCAACCTTCAGTCCCAGGCCCATTATTAAATGCTACATTTATTTTTGTATAAACTATACTCTTTGTATCCCTTAGTTTTTATGAGTTGATAATTTTATTTTGTATATTTCAGACATAGGGAATTATATTTTAAGTCCTGTATTGTTACACTAAAATCTTGTGATGTTCAGCTTCAGAAGAGAAGAACAAGAGGTCTGTTGTAACAACTAACAGAGCCACTCTCTCACACTGTGGCCAACCATCATTAGATCTGTTATCGAGCTTAGCAAGCCTTTATTTATTTTGTATACCAATGTAATCAGAAAAAGTGGCTGAATTTTGTATGTGCATGGTTTTTGCTCACCTTTTCAAAGTGGTGGAATACCAGTCTCAAGTACTGCGTTATTTTGTTTAAAATACCCTGATTTCAGTATGCTTACACGTAAAACATGGTTGTCGAGCTAACGTTTTATATATACGCCAGTGTCAGTACATGCACGTCAATGGGCTTGTTTAAAGGGCGCAATGAACAGTAAGATCTTGGGCAGTTCATCAAAAAAGGAAAACTGAAACTTGAAATCCACATAGGACGCTTCACAAGGGTGAAAGAAGCTTTTCTGTTGCACAGGAGAGGCGAATTTAAGGATTACTGTAAAAATAAGTTCTGTCTAATGTTCTTTTTTGAGTACTTTTTTTAAATTATAAAAAACATACAAAGGTAAAAAAAAAAAACTGTTGCCACGTATGTTCTGTGTATGTTCTGTGAAAGTACCTACAGCACAGTTGCCTTTTGTTTCATTTATACATGTAAAATTATTGTATAATACAACACTGTTTTGTCCCAAGACAACTGTATTTGCCAAGCTTTGTGCATTGAAATATTTTTATTTATTTGGTTTTGGGCAGTATTAATATATCATAAACATATGGCTACTGTTTTATATATTCTAGTTCATCCAATCCATGTATGCTGTAAATGTGCTAGTCTTTAGGATGAAAACCAATAAAGAACTGACAAGAATAACAAATGATGGTGTTTGTGGTAAATTAAAAGAAGCACTTTTGGGTTCCTTGACTTGCTGCCTTTATTTGTTGGAGAATACATTAAGCCAAGTTGTGTATGGAGATATTTTACACAGACCTGCGAATCAGGAAGCAGCTCCTTCTAAACCCCACTAAAATACAGCTGCTCTCAATTTTCTGTAGTTAAGCCAGGCACCGGTTTGTCCCACGTGCCATACATTCAGCAGCAGTCAAACAAAGAAACAGTATGAGATTATTTTTGTTCTCAATCTTACCTACTTTCTCCATGAATCTTCTATGAGACCTTCCTGAGCTCCCTTCTTTGTTTTTCACTCTTCCTTCCATTAATAGAATCCCTTCTCTGCTGCTGCTTCCCCTTCAGCTAGCTCATCTCTCTAGCAACTTTAATGCTGCTTTTAAGCAGGGATAGGTTGTCATTGTTGATTGTCATTTTGGTTTCAGGTGAAATAAATTTTATATAATAGTGTAACAGAGAATAATCCAGAGTATTCTGATTCCTGCAAAATCTAAAGAATAGAACATAAAAATGTAATTCTGCTGTCTCACTGGATGTTTGAGATCTGCCAAGTACAATTTTGTTTGCATGAGAGGACTGAGGACCACAGGTGGGGCTCAGTGAATCAGTTTTTCTAGTTACACAGAAAGAAAAACAGTACCAGAAAAAAAAACCAACAAAACAAACCCACACTGCTTTCATTCAGAATGCAGAAGGAGAAGATGCTTGACAGGTGGGAATCCCTAAATTGCAAATGCAGAATACATTTACATACACGTGTGCATATATACGTATCTGTATTTCAAAAATGTTTAATTAGTGTCAAAAAAAGTATTTCCAGTGTTCATTTTAATTTAAAAAGGTGAGCTGTTTCAAGGATGGTTGAAAGTTTAACATCTTTAAAGGGCATTCTGAGCTATTGGAGAGTTTGTCACTTTGAAGCTGACATGAGTGCCTCCATAAAGAGAGCTCCATTCAAAACCCAAGGTGACTGTGAATCTGGGCTGCTTGTGGAACTGTAGCTGTATGAGGGTTGTAAATGATGCTGTGAGGAGCTGCAGGAAGCAGCAATGACTGCATGCTTTGGTGCATGGAACCAGAACTTGTTCTGTCTCTTTGCCATGGCTTTTGCTATACAACAGCCTTCAGGCATGACTTTGAAGCTCTGGAACAGCCTCCTGTGTATAGGCACAGACTGCACTTCAGAAAGGCTTGCCTGATACCACAAATGTAACATGTTAAAGCTTGAAAATTGTGCTCTGACAAACGAGAGGGAAATTTAATAGATGCTTGAGATAATAGAAAACCAAGAAGATAACAAGAGAAAATAGGAAAACACTTGTTTAAATCAGAAAAGGAGTCCTCATCAGAAGAAATTGTAGATAATTTTGGTGACCAAAAGTAAGCTTTTTTGGTGTTTTTCTGTTTGTGAATTCCTAAAAATTTCTAAGACCCACCTCAGAAATGTTATATCGACGTTGCTACCAACCACATATGGGTTTGTTTAAAATAGCTCTCCCTAATGAATGACAAGACTTTCAGGCTATGAATGGGAAAGCTTAACTCAACAGCAACCTCTTTTCCTCACATCATTTTAAATGCCAGGCAAACCTTCTGCTCCCAATGAGTGAAATATTTTGCCTGTTGCAACTCCCTCCCTTTGGCAGAATGACGGTGACATGTAGAGCTCAGTAGTGTTCAGTATGATCAGCTGATGACAGGAAAACATAGTTTATAAAAGCCCGGTATCCCTGCCAAACATCCCTTCTTTTTTCTTCTTCAAATTGTGCCAATATTAAGTTTGTTATTCACCAGTCTGATCCTATAATTTCTGATGTCTTCTGTATTCCACACAGACTTCACCATCAAGAACTTGTTATTTTTTGCGGTGGCTGTTGTATTTGTGCATGTACCCCAAGTATTCTGAATGTGAAGTTCTGCAAAATGTGTATTTTACAGATTTTACAGCATAAGGAACTCACAATACATCCCCTAATGTAAAGTTTTGGTCCTTACAGTCAAAATATTTGAGATAATGTGCTGCTTTATTACTTACGTGTATCGTTTCATACCTAACCCCAAATTACTCTGCTTGCAGACTGTTCCTGAGGGGTCAAGGCAGAAGAGTCTCTGACAGTAACAGCAGCTGTAACCCCAGACTAGATCACAGAGCCCAGAGTTGGTCACTGCCCGCCAGGCTCACTGAATGTTTAATTATTCATAAAGTTGAGAAGTTAAGAGAGATTACAATGGCCAGTGAGAAGGGCACTACCCGGAATATGAACAAATTATGCTGTGGATGAAATAGGTGATCTGGAGGGCGGGGGGAATGGGCTTGTTTACTGGTGCTCCCATCAGGATCATTGGAAACCTTTTCTGCTGAAACCACACAGGGATTCCTCAGAAAGCCTCCAAAAAAGGGAGTTTGGAAGGCTGTCCCGTTTGGATGGTGGGGGGAGAAGGGAAAGCTGTTCTAGAAAATTCTCAGTCTAATGACGAGGACTGTAGAACTGGAATACAAAGCAGTTAGTTACCCACAGGGCCTGCACAT